CACGGATTTTACTAATTTTTATATTACACATGGATAACCGAAGATGTATATGATGTAAGTAATTGTTGATCACAATTTGGTCATGTCACGTGTATTGCAAGAGTTATTGAAATTTGAAAATGAAGTTTAGGTGGGGCCCAACAGAATCCTCATGGTCTCATCAGTCGCCTGTATATATCCATCCCACAAATCAAAAACACAAACAAAACCGGCTGCGGGCTTTTCCTTGCACTATCTATAATTGTTGTTGTTGTTGGTTTTTATTTTATTCTTCATCAAAATTAACCAATAAGAATATGGGTGGGGAAAGAGGTGTTGTTGTGGCTTTGGTGATGATGGTGGCCATGATGGCCACGATGCTAAATGTGGTTCGAGCGGGGCAGCATGTCGTGCAGTGGACGCCACAATCGTATCAAGATATGAACGTGAGTGTGGGAGATTCTATTGGTAAGAATTATATATATACATAACCAGCGATAGCTAAGCTAGTTGAACTATACACAACGCAATATATTAAGGATATTAATATTATAATTAATGTATTACCAAATATATTCGATTTGCTTTATAAAAAATATATAAGGTTCATGTAATGGATATATATATATATATATATGTTGACTTAAATTTGTGATACAGGGTTCAAGTTTGAAAGGGGTAAATATAATGTGATGGAGGTGAGCCAAAGTGACTATGCCACGTGCACGACCACCCCCATAGGCACCATATACACTTCCGGGCTGGGTGCTTATAGGTTCACTGGGGCTGGGACACACTACTTCATATGCGGAATACCCCCGCATTGCAAGACTGGACAAATGAAGATCACTGTTAACGTTATTTAATTAAACCAACCTAATTAAACTAGCTCATCATCGATGCTAGTGGTAGTGCTACCGTTTTTAATTAAGACATTATGTATTATTATGAAGAAGCCACTTTAATTACTACTATGCACGTGTTTACTATCTTTGGACTTTCCTTATTCCACACACACTACTCAACTCGATCTCCTCAAGTTATTGGGGCTAGATTACCAGTGTTGTATCCAATAATCCATCTAT